ATGCATACTCTGCCGCATAGCAGGGATTCGGGCAGCTTCAGGACCCCGCCCCAAGGCGTAAGTTTCCCCTTTTCCGGTCGTTTTTCTTGCTTTAGGTCGAGCGATGTGACCTCGCATTTGCGTGATGTTGTGAGGGGGGGGGGCACTCTCGCATGGCACCGAAATCCCAAAACCCCCATCTTGCCCGGACACTTTGAAGGGTAAACCTGATAGAAGGTCACAAAGACGACTTTAGTGTACATACTACTCTGTACAAGTATGGCATTCGTTTGTCCAAGGTTTAGCAAATATATAACATAGGAAGAAATAATAATGCCACAAACTTTCACATTTGTAATCGACAGCTAAAGAAATGTAGCACTGCTTTTGGCTTCTGAACGAAACAAATTTTTACGATAATGTCCAGTGGTACTTCATTGTCAATTATTTACCACAAATCATGTATTCGAGTAATAGATAGCCCGAAATGAGCTTCTCCTATTTTATCAATCATAGGCCTTTTTTCAAGGAGCACTGTAAACTTGCGGAGTCAGAGCTTCTAAAGTGGCAAGGTTACAGCTTTGAATATGGGAGGTCATACGATAGAACTAAATTAGGTAGCTTCTTTTTCCCTAAGTTGACATGAATTATTTGCATTAAAAAGCGCGGATACCGTCTTTGCTCTGCTCATTTTTCAGCACCTACCATCTATTTCAAACTTAAAACTCAGCATCATAATACATAATGTGGAGTAGGAAGAGGGGGAGGATGGGGTAGGATGTAAGGTTTCAAAGGCATGTTGCTTTTCAAGCTTAACTTGCTTTTGGCCCATATGGCATTAGCCGAACTGACATGAGCCACTAGTAGATCCATCGGAGGATAGTGCGCAACGAATCAGATCTACTGGAAGGAATCGTATTTCAGCTTTAGTAGTAAGATTGAGCTTAGAGAATAACTGAAAGAGAAAGGGAAGAAAACACGGCGGTGGAGTCTTTGCACATCTACCGCCTAGACTATTTGAAAATATTGCGAACAAAATAAAGAATGAAGGGGTGCGGAGCCCGCTATGACAATCTAAATTTTTAAAGATTCGGTAGTGTTTTACTGGTTTATATCGGCCCAATATATCAAAATTAGGTGTTAAAATGTGGGAAAGTCAAGAATTAGGCTATAACAAAATGCTCCTTTTAACACATTGACGACAGCGTGACCCACATGGTGGGTCATGCACTGTCTGACACTTGGGACAATGTGACCCACAGGTGAGTCATGATTCAAATTTTGTTCAAAAACTGCTATTTTGGAATACATTCGTTCTAGAGTCCTTTTACGGTCTAACCCTAAAATTTGCTCTTGTGTTTTCGCCTACTTCATAGAATTACTGTAGGTATACTGTGGTTGACGATCTGCATGATCTTAGCTAAGAATTTTTCGGCTTTCGTGGAAGACATTGTTCCAAGAGGCAGATAACTAAAAATGCACATTTTCGTCGCTGTTAATCCCATCTAGAGAGTGCCAAGTACTGGGAAACACTCCAAGGGAACAGATTTTCATTTGAACCTCCCTCATCAAGGTGAGATTCTAAAGGCAACAACTGGATCACTAAAGCATGCTACAGAACAATTAGGGAAAATGGGCGAAAGGTGCAAAATTAAGAATTTTTTGTTAAACTCCCAAGGAACTAAGCAGGGAATGCATTCGCGCTGCATCAGCGCAGAAAACTATTACGTTGCTTGATTCGCTTCGAGAACAAGATCGTCTCGCATCAGCATTCCATCCTCGTTTTTACATCGAGATTGAAGGTTCACAGACCGGTTTCAAGCTATAGCTCAAGCTTGTTCTTTCGAAAACATTTTCGTTACCAAATTATGTTCGGAAATCAGGGTGATAAAGCTCAAATTGGTCTTCTTACAAGCACACAAAATGCACATAGATCTTCTTTGATGCGTTTATTTTGGTTCTCAAACCGGGTATTTTGGCACTGTCATGATTCACCTCAAAGTAGAAAACCTTCTGAGTACTTAGATGATTTGAATCACTTTTCGAGACTCTACAGCGGATGCGGTTCTTTCGCAAAATTGTGCCATCTTCATAACCTCGCTTCTGGGGTAAGGTACCGCGAAAGTCGTCACCCACTCACTCTTGGTCCTATATCCTAATAAGAACATCAGTACAACGATATTCTTTTCAAAAAAAGGTCTGGAAGAGAAGGGATGTGTCTGTGGACATCAGTTGGGATGTCTAAGCCTTAAGTTTTGCAGGTTCAATCTGTACTTTTTAACTTGCAGACAGGCCAAACGATCAGAGCTCGCCATTGTTTGCAGGCGACCACAAGTTGTTGATAGTGAAAGTGCCAGGCGAAGAAGGCTGATATCACGTATTCGATAGTTCTTATCACAACTTCTGAATAGTAAAAGTACAAAGAAGGAAACGTCTGCGTGCTGCTATAGCCTCTTGCAGCCCGATGCCACTGGTCGGTTGTTTCAATATAATCTCATACACAACGCCTCGGCCAAGCCCAGAAATGAAGGCTCCGTGGCTTTAGTGCCAAAACAATTCATTCCCTCATATAAGCCACTAGCTGGCTTACCCGGCTCCGCCGTATGTTCCGAATAGAAAATTCCATTTCTTAACCGATCCGGACCAAACTTGGCACACATACACTTCGGGCCCCGGCGGGTGTCACAGTCCACTTTTCGTCATCGATCGATGTCGAGTTTATCGATTTTTTGCAAAATTTGAGCTAGGGGGCTGGAATTTGGCAGAGGGGTGTAATCGAGCATGCTGATCACCCCCGTGGGCCCGAAGTGTATGTGTGCTAAGTTTGGTCCCGGTCGGTTCAGAAATGGAATTTTCTATTCGGAACATACGTACACACATACAGACATACAGACATACAGACAGACAGACAAACAGACATTCAGCTTTATATATAAGATTCATAAAATCGTGACGACGGATGTGATTGCGGACTTTGTGCACATAGGTGCATACACCCATACAAACAGACAACGCTGGCTCAGTCACTCCTATATATGTAAGCAGAAAAATATTCAAACAGGAATAGAAATCAAGAAAATGCGGTTGCTAGAAGAGCGGGCGCTTCGCGCGCGGTCGCGCCATCGCCACGATTTTTTTTGAAAGCCCTATAGTGCTTAGATGCCTGCAAATCTTATACATCTCCAAAACTTAAGTTTGGTTTTGATTGTCATAAACAGGAAAGGTCGATTCAACACTCTCGCACTTATTACCGTATACATGAGCAATGGCTAAGGTTTGTTTATAGTCACACGTCGTCCTGACCGTATTGGTCATTTAGTCTTCAAGATTTGAAACTTGTTTCTTCTTCGGACAACTAGTCATCGTCATTTCAAAATCACCACACAGAACGATGTTTTTGACGGCGGTGATACAAAAACAAGCAATGTCGAACGCAAAGTGTGAGATTTCACTCTTTGGGCACTAGCTAGTTCTGTCATAGTAATTTATTGGGTTGAAGGTCCAAATCCATAAGTAATTGGTTTGCAAATCAAAATCTACTAAACATGGACAAGATGCGCAAAAAAGACTACTCTGATCAGTGATCCACTGAATAGCATATTATGCGATTTCGAATAATTGGAGCTTTTACATTCGCCTTTATTTGAGGTATATAGTGCTGACATTTCAAGGAAAGGTTTTCTTGCAGGAAAACAGTGTGCCGGCATTGCCATTCCTCATATCTGGCACATTGTGCAATATCTAATCAATTAAGCTAGTGTGTGGTCTGCTCAACTCAGGCTGAAACTGAGAAGAGTGCCTTAGGAAATGACACACACTGAGGTTCAAGTCGAAGAAAGGTAGACAGCAATGCGCTAAACAGAACAGGATTTCTAAACACTAAAGCTGATTCGTGAAAGCTTTACTAGAATCTCGTAAAATTTTTTTTGAGTGAGTGCGTAGGAACGACCATGCGTGCAAATGAGTTTTCTCAGATCGTGAATCAACTCTATCTTTTGTAATCAATGTACTGTGCCATCTTGAGGTGTAAAGTCATGGCGCAGAAGGAGGTGGTTTGAGAAATGGGAAGAAACAGATACTATTTTTGGAGATACTCTTTAGATATGACTTGAGAGCGTTGGTGAATGTTGTTTGTGTTCTCTTAGTTATCTTGTTTGTTCTTTGTAAGTGCACATTCAGGCTCTCATTTGAGCTGTAGCACCACACTGATTGCAGGTCGAATGAAGATGCTTTGTACTGCACAATCTCACTCACACATTTTAGCGATATCTTCGATCTCGTGAATTCACAGAACCTTTCCAGAGTGGACTGAATAAGAAGAATCAAATCATCATTGGATTCACAGAAAGAACAGTGCGAAATTCAAAAAAAAAGATTTCACAAGAATAGAGCCAAGCCTAGCAGGTCGACACTGCGCAACTGCATCGTAAGGAGATCTTACATTCAAGATCAATGTGTTCGTTAGAACATTCAAGATCAATGTGTTCGTTAGAATCAGGTTACTGCTAAATATCAAATGTTTCTCGCTTAAAAGCGTCAATTACTGCTGTGGCTTTTTTTGTCGCAATCTTCTCAACTCAAGCAACTTTTCGCTCCAGGGTTGTTTTATTTAACTGATGAAATGTAAGTATCTCAATGCAATAGAATGACTACAATGACCTACACTTTGAGTAGCAAGATTAAGCTTGATTTCTAAAAATTCTTATATCCGAGAAGCTGTATCAAGAAAAAGCTTCGATATGCCCAGATGAGCATTCCAAGGGGTTTGGAGATAGATTTAGAGATTGTCTACTTTACAATCTGATGCGGCGAAAGATATTCGTACCAGCTAAGGAACTCTCGTCATACTACATCTCGATAAGCTTATGGTTATAAAAGCTCCTCAGTCATAGATGAAGCATACAATAGCTTCTGCTATTTATCACAGCCGCCAGTTACATCTCTTTCTCAGTATGCTACATTTTCCTTGATTTTTTATTCGTGCATCGAGCACATAAATGCAGTTTTTCTCTTAGACAACAATGTTCTCGGCGAAACTTGCTGTATTTCTGGCAGTGTGCGTCCTTGTTTGCGATGCCTGTGCGCCCGGCAGTAAGTATAATCCCTTTCCATCACTGTGGTTGTACTAATGTTATCTTCTCAGGACCACGACAACAACCTGCAGCAGCTGCTGCTAGCACTAATGGTCGTAGAGGCGGTACCAGTGGTAGACGAGGCAGTGGTAGTGGAGGAAGCTCTGGTGGTGGTGGAGGTGCTGGTGGTGGAGGTGCTGGTGGTGGAGGTGCTGGTGGTGGAAGTGACGCTTCTGGTGGAAGTGGTGGACAAAATAATCAAAATCCTGGCGGCAATCAAACTCCTGACACTACTAGTCGTAATGCTGGAGGCAATACTGGTAACAACGGTAATGGGGGAGCTATGGGTGCCAACGCAGCAGGTGCTGGTACACGAGGTTAGTACTCTTTTTATATTTTAAGCCATAAGTCAAGATTACATAGTTCTGATTTTACAGCTGCCGCAACTCCTGCTCCCCCGGGCTAGACGAGAACGTCATTCAATCTGTAGGGCCAAGTGCGGGACTCATATTGATCTTCATGGTGGCCTCAACAAATGTCTCTCTCATATCCTAGCTTAATGAGATTCTGTCATATTCGCTTTACTCGATGTATTCGTGAACAGTATTTACATGTTATAATTTATACCTGACAAGGAAAGCGTGTCTAGTCGAAGTGGCGTTTCTAACTGAGATTCATATCACTTTAAAGGGCATTGCACGATGGCTTTAAATCTGCCTTCACTATCTGCCAAGCGCCTCTGGACGCCGAATTATGACCATCTTTTGGAACGAAAAATGAGTGCAAAATTTAGATAAAAACACTTGTTACAATCTTTCCAGCGCTCACATAAAGCAATGTTGAGTATCAGCATACTACACAAAACGTATCCGTCGCATAAACTGCTCTGATACTTGACGCCGGACCATTTGAGCAAATTTGGGCGATTTTGCTCCAATTTTGCGTTCAATTTTTTGACCCGGAAAACGTCCATAGCTCGGCGTCCAGAGGCGCTTGGTAGATAACAAGGCAGATTTGGAATCACTATTCAGTACTCTCCAAAGCAGTATGGGTCTCATCTGAAAAGGCCACTTCGATTATACACGCTTCCTTTGTGAGTAGGAAAAGTTTCTCACTCATTGAAGGCATTCTAAATATAGGGATTCATGAACACTTATAAACTAAACACCAAACTACACACAAAATAAATCAAACACTTATAAATGATTCAATACAATGGAAATAACAAGCTAAATATCCCACCTCTGCAACGCAGAAGATCGCACACCAAGGTTAGAGAATCGAAGTACAAAATGACCACTCTTCATCAAAAAACTTTTGGAAATTAAACTAGACTCTTTTCTTTACTAAAGAGATTCGGAAAGGGTCTAAGTATCAAAACTCTGAAGGAAAAGGACGAAACGAGAAAGAAATGCAAAATTATGTTTCTTTATGGAGTTGTTGAGCCCAACAATTTAAAAACTGACGATGTAATGTGCGAATATCTCAATTATTCTGCATTTAGGATTAGGTTTATTCCGTGCATTTTAAAAGCAGCTTTCTAAGAGCGGTATTTATCGAGTTCCTGTACATCGAGCTCAAACCCGTTCGGGAAGCTGCTGACAACGGAATGGTCAAAAGAAAGTGGCCGGTCCCAGCAAGCCGTATACCGTTGCACAGTCCGTGGAGGAATGGTTACATATCCATTATCATTTCGACTATAGATTCGATGTCTCTAGGTACTGAATTACCATTTTAGCCTCGTTAAGGTCATCGCGCTAAAAAACAGATATTGGATGGATTGCAAAAGATTAGCAAGCAAAACGAAAACGAACTTGAAAAAAAAAACTCGATTCTGGTCCTATGAGTTTCCACACTCACCACTGCGCTGTGCGTCCAGCTTGGTTTCCGCCTGGGTAACGAGCATTTACGACACGCGCGTTTCCACGGCGGAATCGAGGGCCATAACTTTTCAAAGGAGACCGAGGTGCAGACTGATAAAACGAGCCCCCGGTTTTTCATTGCAAGTTTGTTTCCTTTTGCTTGCTACTCTTTTGCAACCCATTCCCAATATCTGTATTTTTGGCGCGAGTCCCTAACGAGGTTAAACAGATAATTCAGTATACTTGAAACGACCGAAAAATCCCTTCGGACGAACGAATATCGAATAATAGGCTTTAAGAAATATTCGAACGAATATCATTCGAACTGTGACTATTCAGATTATACGAATTTGAATATTCGAATAATGCTACATTTTAAAATTTGAACGAACGAATATTTGAATAAATGGGGTTGGTCGAAGATTCGACTATTCGAATAATCGAATAATTAACCTTTGATTTAACTGGATTGGCTTCGATAAGGCGGTGTTTTGTGACGTAATTGAGGCCGCTCGCGCCCGCGAGGCACCTGCGTCTCTCTCGCGCGGTTGCTCTCTGATCACCAGCAAGCCTTAATTAGGTCACAGAGCCCCGCCTCTCCGAAGGCCAAGCCAGTTGAATCAAATGTTACATATAGTCGGATATTCAACTATTCGAATATTTGAATATCATACCTGTCCGAATTTCGACTATTCGAATAATTCGAATATTCTTGTGGCTCAACATTGCTGGCTTTTTCTTTGTTGCAGTTTTCTGCAGAAAAAAAATCCATCGCTATATTTGATCTAGATTTGTAGCTGATGACTGTATGCGTAGCAAGTGTTAAGGATGACTAGGTTATTGTGGCTAGGTCTTATACCTTGGAAACTGAGAAGAAATTTCACTCAAACTGTAATACAAGCTGTCTATTGTACTTATTTCAAAAGGCTACTAAGCCTTAATAACCTTCGGATCAAGTCCGCATTTGTTCTTCCTCACAGAAGTTTCTCCCAAAGCTACAGAGAACTTTCTCCCAAAGCTACAGATTCAACATGGATTCTTGGAATAGATGGTTGTTTGTAATTTATTTGTGGTCAGCATTGCGTGAGTTCTAGCAAGGGAAGGATACTTGGTCGAAGTGGCGTTTTCATATGAAATGGATACTGTTCCATCGGGCATGAAGGCAATTCCAATTGTGTTTTCCATACATGCAAAGCTCTTCTGAGAGCAGAAATATGGGCATTTGTAGTATAAATTCAAGGGCTTGGCTAAGGTAAAAACAGCGAGGGCTTCCTGGCGCTTAAAAGGAGTAATGATCAGCATGAGTTTATTAGAATGAAGACATCAATCGACTAGTCCTGGTAGTAATCATGACCCCCTTCGAGCTCAGAGACTACAGTTCTGCATGAATTAGTTTTAGCCGCCAGTCTAGTACTTCAAAAATATCCTCATAACCCCCAGAAGCGCTTTGCAAATATAGAAGGCAGAATCGAAATTAGTCTATCATCTTAAATATAAAGCTGAAAGTGTGTTTGTCTGTATGTATGTCTGTTACGTATCTGCGGAATAGAAATTTCTATTTCTGAATCGATCCAGATCAAACTTGGCACATATAAACATCGGGGGCAGGGGGGTGTCGTAGGCTACCTTTCGTCATCGATCGATATCGATTTTACCGATTTTTATCGACTTTTTGCAAAGTTCAAGCTAGGGCTGGGAGCTGGCACAGGGGGGGGGGTAAGTGGGCATACTGATTACTGACACAGCGGATTTAGGGAATTGGCATGTAGAAGTGGGCACAGGGAAAGGTTGTACAGGGACAGAAATGGGACCTTTATCGTAGTCTCTTGACAGGGCTGAGCGGGCCGGGTAAGCAGCTAGTGCTCTATAAAATGGTGTATACTAGGCTGTTTCAAAAGTTCTGCCCAATTTTCAATCGCCTTGTTTCAACGCAGTTATTTTCTTAGGGTATTGCACTTATTGCATTGTCATAAACATCATCTAGAAGTACTTTTCCTGCTCTTTCTAGTGCTCACTGATGCTTGGCGAATCCATTTTTCAGTGATAAAATTTCAAGCCCGAAGCAAAGTCGCCAAAATGCAGTCTGCCCAAGAAAAAGTCTCCATAAAGAGAACTTCCGCAGTGTTCGTAAAACTAAATATGTAGTAATCGAAAAGTGCGGCTGTCTTCAAATCTCGGCATAATGAATAGTGTGTTGAATCAATTGTTGAGCCACTCCGAGATCGGTAAATGTATTTATTAGGCTGAGTTTCGGCTATGTCGCCTTCTTCAGAGCCTGAAATAAATTGTTGTCGCCCATTTTTCAGGCTCTGAAGAAGGCGACATAGCCGAAACGTCAGCCTAATAAATATATTTACCAATTTCGGAGTGGCTCAAGAATTAAATCAACACAATAAATATGTAGTATTTTATAATGGGTGAGGCTATAATAAACTACCATACGCACACTTTTTATCCGACGTAAAGAACGTTACTTTTTCAATTTTTTTTCAAAGATAGAAGACAAACTCAGTTATTCAACAAGCGGCAACTATCTACATATAGTGACAGGTGATGCATTCAATATTGCATTGTTGAATATTATTCAATATTGTTAGAGTAAAGCGGGAGCAAGCAGGTACCACCAGCCAATTGGCTTTCTTCCTTTGCGAAAGCAAGAAAAAATCAAATATTAGAAAGTCGGCATATTTTCGCACGCGGAGGATGGCTCAAATATTGGGTTTTTTGATTTGCTCGCAAATATTTCTATGCAGCGAAAATAACTCAATTTCTCTCTAACCGCAAAATACCTCTGAGTATAAGCTACTTAATGATGGCAGCCAAATATGTCTGCTCATCCTCATATGAAGCATTAATAAGTCAAACTGGACGGTTCTGAAGAAAACCTTGCAGAATTCAAGAAATTTTCTCTTCTCTCTCTTGCCTTCCTTACATGGCATATACTGTGCTTGTAATACCCATAAACTCGCTTAATACAACGAAACTTAAGTTGTTCAAAATTGTTAATTTTGAAAAAAGTTATGAAATTCTAGATGGAAAAATCGCAAATGGGACAGAACTTTTGAAGCAATCTAGTATTCCATTCGGAGTTGCCATTTCGACCAAGTCTTCCCTTGTAAGATTAGCACTGTGAGAGCACGAGGAAGGCCTGAAGTAGTAGAAGCAAAACTTCTGCAGCAGAGTTGACGCACTGTTGTTTACATACTTTCGTGCGCATCTAAATCTAGAAAAAGAAAAGTCATGAAAATATCTGTATATTAGCAACAAATTTAATGCTTGTCGGAAATTATCAATTGGATTTCACAGTTTCATTTATGGGATTGAATCTTCACAAAGTTGTTTTGGCTGTATTTGAGGTTTGTACTTTTGTTGTGAGGGATCTTCCATATCTTTTACTCAGGTTCAAAAATTATTGTACAACCTACACACCTACTCAACGTATTATTCCTCCTTGCAACGTCAAAAATATAGTTTTTTACGCCCCCTGACTGTAAAGAGAGCCGATTTGTGTTTGGTGAATGACATCAGGGCGCGGCACGAGTCCATTTCTAGGCTTTTTGAAATGAAGTCCCCCTAACTTCCGGAAATTTTACGAAGTCCCCTTTGACCCTTGCTCTACCCCCCCCCCCCCTTCTCCGATTACTGGTGGATCCTTGCATACCCAGTTGATTCTTGACAAAACCATTTACCTGCTGCGAGCTGAGAATCTCGCGATTTCAAACTCTCAAAGAAAAACCACAAAATCGCGAATATTTTGGTGAATTTAATTTTCTTTTATGATTTTTATAGCGTTTGTATAAGTTTAGAAAGAAACACTTATTTCAGACTTCATAAAAAACATGAAACTTTTTCCGCTGACTTGCTACCTTAGAATGTGCTAAGGAACATGTTCTCGAAAAATCGCCATCAAAAATGTGCGAAAAGGTCAAAAATGGGCTTAGTCCCAGCTCACCTTGCTGCTGGGAGTAAAATGGGCTTTCAAGTCCATTTAAAATGGAGGTAAATCCCATTTTGCCCCATTCTAAATGGACTCTTCGCATGATTCTTTCGCAAGCGAGAGCTCAAGTAGGGTTGAATCATTTTCATTACACCGCTTTGCCTCGTGGTTGCGATGAGAAAAAATTTCTTTATAACGCTAACGAAGGCAGATTCCGACCAATTTCTACCGCGAACGAATAAAATGGGGTTTGGAAGTCCATTCCTCCATTATGGACTTTCGTGGATATCTTTCCTGAACTTTTCTTTTGACATTGACCATTCAAATATTTATTTATTTATTTATTATATGATCTATATAATAAATAATCTCTATCAAATATATGATCTTTGCTATCCGAATATTCGAATGACTGTCTTTCATGTCTCGAATATTCGAATAGCTGTCTTTCAAAACTCCTAGAATAAACGAGTATTTGAATAACTCATTTTTCCAAATCGTCGAATGAAACGAATTCGAATCAGGCCTTTTTCATTTATTCGACTATTCGAATAATCAAATAATCAAACTTTCTCGAATATTCGACTATTCGAATATTTTCGAAAAGTCGAATATTTTAAATAAATTATTCGAGTACGAATATTCGGTCCTAACTATATAATTCAGTATCAGACTTCGAAAAGTCTTATTTTTTATCAGTCAAATTCATGAGGATTGAGGACGGCCATGGGAAAGCAAGAATAAAAATGTTGATGAAAAGGATTGCAAGGACGAACAGAAGCAAGCAGCAAGAAAGACGAAGCTAAAACTGATGAACAGAAACATATCTTAAGTTGACGATTTATTTGAAGTCTTTAGATATTGAATTACCATTTAACCTCGTTAGGGACCACGCTAAAATACAAATTACTGGGGATGGGTTGCAAAAGAGTAGCAAACAAAAGGAAACGAACTTGCAAACAAAAACCGGGTCGTTCTATGAGTCTCCACCTCGGTCTCCTTCAAGAAGTTATGGCCCTCGATTCCGCCGTAGAGACGCTGCGCGTCGTGAATGCTCGTCTCCCAGGTGTGAACAAAGTTGAACGCATAGCGCAGTGGTGAGTGGCCACTCATAGGCCAAAATCGACTTTTGTTTGCAAAATCGTTTCCTTTTGATTGCTACTCTTTTGGCCCACCCCAACATCTGTATTTTTGGCGCGATGACCCTAACGAGGTCAAAATGGTAACTCAACCTAAACACTTCGAATCTACAACCGAAATGGATAATGGATATTTAACCAACCCTCCACCAGCCCTTCACGTTCAACGGTGTACGGCTTACTGGGATGGGGCACCTCGAATTTTGACTATTTTCTTGTCAGCAGCTTCCCGAACGGCATGAGCTCGATGTACAGATGATTGATAAATCGCCCTTGGAAAGCTGCTTTCAAAAATGCACGGAATAACCCATTGAAAAAAGCAAACCAGTTTATAATCCTGTGCAGAATTATTGAGTTGTTCGCACATTACATCGTGCGAATAGTTTTCAAATTGTCTAAGAAGAAAAACAGTTTTGCACGTTTTTTTCCCGTTGCGGCTCTTTCCTCAGGAATTTGAAACTAGATCCTCTCCGAGTCTCTTCAGTAAGGAGAAGAGTCTAGTTTAATTTAGAAAAGATTTTTGATGAAGAGTGGTCATTTTTGTACTTCGATTCTCCAACTTTGGTGTGCGATCTTCTGCGTTGGAGAGTCAGAATTTTTATCTCTTCATTTCCATTGCATTGAATCAGTTATAAGTGTTTATGTTTCAGAAATTCCCATACTCAGAATGCCTACAATAAGCGAGAAACTCTTCCCACTCTGGTATAAATTATGACATGTAAACATTGTTTACGAAAACACTAAGTAAACTATATTAATATCTCGTTAAGTTAAATGTGCAAAGGCGAATTCGTTAAGGCCACTGTGAGGATCATTATGAGTCCCGCACTTGGCACAGCAGATTGAGTGATATTCTCGTCTAGCCCGAGGAAGCAGGAGCTGCGGGAGGAGCTGCGGGGGCAGCTGTAAAATCGGAACTATGTAATCTTAACTGGCTTGAAATATAAAAAGATACCAACCTTGTGTGCCAGCATTTGCTGCGTTAGCACCCGTAGCTCCCCCAGCGTTACCGTTGTTGCCAGTATTACCTCCAGCATTACGACCAGTAGGCTGAGTATTACCGTCTTGCGCTCCAGGATTACCAGAAGCACCAGGAGCACCAGGAGCACCAGTATCTCCACTACCACCAGGGCTTCCATCACCAGCAGGGCTTCCACCAGCACCACTGCCTCCTCCACCACCACCACTGCCCCCTCCACTACGACGATTACCGCCTCCACCACTACGAGCGCGGCTTGTAGGAGGGGTGGGTTCAGCTTCTCGTCGTCCTGAAAAGGCAACAGTTAGGGTGACTACAGTGATGGAAAGGGCTTATACTTACTCGGGTTGTTGGGCGGACAGGCATCGCAAACAAGGACGCACACTGCCAGAAATACAGCAAGTTTCGCCCAGAACATTGTTGTCTAAAAGAGAAACAGCATTTATGTGCTCGATGTACGAATAAAAGATCAAGGAAAATGTAGCATACCGAGAAAGAGGAGTAACTGGCGGCTGTGGCAAAGCAAATAGCAGAAGCTATTGTATGCTTCATCTATGACTGTGGAGCTTTTATAGCGTTGACCACAAGCTTATCTGGATGTAGTATTGCTACGGGCAAAAGTTCCTTAGCTGGTGCGAATATCTTTCGTCGCATCAGATTGTGAAGTAGACAATCTCTAGTTCTATCTCTAAATCCCTTGGAATGCTCATCTGGGCATACTTCGAAGCTTTTTCTTGATAATGCGGCTGCTTCTCGGATCTAAGGACCTTTAGAGATCAAGCTTAGTCTTGCTACTCAAAGTGTGTGTCTTTGTATTGAACTGAGATACTTACATTTCACCAGTGAAATGAAACACCCCTGGAACAAAGAGTTGCTTGAGTTGGAAAGATTGCGACAAAACAAGTCACAGCAGTAATTGACGCTTTTGAGCTAGAAACATTTGATTTTTTGTATATAGAACTCCTTTCCAAATGCTGTTTCAAAATAACGTTTGGAGAGTACTCAGTAACCTGATTCTAACGAACACATTGATCTTGAATGTAAGATCTCCTTACGATGCAGTTGCGTAGTGTCGACCCGCTAGGTTTGGCTTTATTCTTGTAAAATTCGAAGTACGCATTTAATCTTTTTTTTGAATTTCGCACTGTTCTTTCTGTGAATCCAATGATGATTTCATTCTTCTTATTCAGTCCATGGTAAGGTTCTCTGAATTCAAGAGATCGAAGATACCGCTAAAATCTATGAGTGAGACTGTGCAGTACAAAGCATCTTCATTCGATCCTCAATTAGAGTGGTGCTATAACTCAAATGAGAGCCTGAATGTGCACTTACAAAGAACAAACAAGATAACTAAGAGAACACAAACAACATCCACCATCGCTCTCAGTCATATCTAAACAGTATCTCCAAAAATAGTATCTGTTTCTTCCCATTTCTCAAACCACCCCCTTCTGCGCCATGACTCTACACCTCAAGATGGCACAGAACATTGATAACAAAAGATAGAGTTGATTCATGATCTGAGAAAACTCATTTGCACAGCATGGCCGTTCCTAAGCAGTCACTCAACAAAACAATTTCACGAGATTCTAGTAAACCTTTCACGAATCAGCTTGAGTGTTTAAAAATTCTGTTCTGCTCAGCTCATTGCCGTCTACCTCTCTTTGAATTGCACCTCAGTGTGTGGCCTTTCCTACGGCACTCTTCACAGTTTCAGCCTCAGTTGAGCAGACCACACACTGACTCAATTGACTAGATATTGCACGATGTGCCAGATATGAGGAATGACACCGGCACATTGGTTTCCTGCAAGAAATCTTTTTTCTTGAAATGTCGAGAAGTACGCTTCCGAAAAAAGCGAATCTGAGAGCTTTGAGCCATTTATTTGAACTCACATACTATGCTAATCAATGGATCACTGAGAAGTAGTCTCTCTTGCACATCATGCCCTTGTTATCGTATACTAGGTCTCAATTTGCAGAATAACTACTTACAGATCACTAACTTTAACCTCACAAACTGGAACGGAAATAGATAGGGGTCAATGACCAAAATCTTACACTTTGCATTCCACATTGCTTGTTTTTGTATCACCGCCTTCAGACACATCTTTCTGCGTGGTGATTTTGAAACCACGGTGACTAGTTGTCCAAAGAAGGAACAAGTGTCAAATGTTGAAGACGAAAACAGGTAAATGACCATTGCGGTCAGGGTGCGATGTATGGCTCGAAAGAAACCTTACCCATTGCTCAGGTATACGGTAATGAGTGCGAAAGTGTTGATTCGACCTTTCCTGTTTATAACAATAACAAGCAAACTTAAATGCTGGAGGTGTATAAGATTTGCAGGCATCTAAGGCACTATAGCGCATTCAAAAATCGTGGCGATTTCGCGACCGCACGCAACACGTGGGCTTCTAGCAACCGTATTTTCTTGATTTCTATCCCCGCTTGAATGTTTTTCTGCTTACATATATAGGAGTGACTGAGCCGAGCGTTGTCTGTTTGTATGGGTGTATGCACCTATGTGCACAAAGTCAGCAATCAAATTCGTCGTCACGATTTTATGAATGGCTTATATAAGGGAATGAATTGTTTTGGTAGTGAAGCCACGGAGCTTTCATTTCTGGGCTTGGCCGAGGCGTTGTGTATAAGATTATATTGAAACAACCAGTGGCATGTGACCAACTGTGTCTGGCTGACACACAAAACTTTTCTTCGTCAATCAGTCTGGGTGCAACATTTCCACCGTGGAAGATGAGCGAAATCGTTTTCAAAAATAGATCCTGCTCGGGCTGCAAGAGGCTATAGCAGCACGCAGATGTTTCCTTTCTTGTACTTTTATTGTTCAAAATTTGTGATAAGAATGTCGAAAAAGTGATATCAGCCTTCTTCGCCTAGCACTTTCACTATCAACAACATGGGGTCGCCTGCAAACAATGGCGGGCTTTGATCGTTCGGCCTGTCTGCAAATTAAAAAGTACAGATTGAACTTGCAAAATTTAAGGTTCAGACATCCCAACCAATGTTCACAGACATGCTCCTTCTCTTTCAGATCTTTTCTTTAAAAAGGAATATTGTTGAATTAATGTTCTTATTAGAATATATGACCAAGAGTGATCGACTTCCGCAGTTCCACTCTCCAGAAACGAGGTTATGAAGATGGCATAATTTTGCGAAAGAACCACTTCTGCTGTGGGATTTCGAAAATTCAAGTCTTCTCAGAAGGATTTCTACTTTGAGATAAATCATGACATCGCCAAAGTACCCGGTTTGTGAACCAAAATGAACGCATCAAAGAAGATCTATGTGCATTTTATGTGCTTGTAAAAAGATCCATTTTGTCGGAGCTTTATATCCTGATTTCTGTACATAATGAGAGTCACAAATATGTTCTTGAAAGTAATAACAACCTTGAGCTATAGCTTGAAACCGGTTTGTGAATCTTTAATTTCGATGTAAAAACGAGGATGGAATGCTAAGCGAGAAGATCTTGTTCTCGAAGCGAATCGTGGAATGTGGTAGCTTTCTGCGCTCATGCAGCACGTATGCATTCCATCCTTAGTTCCTTGGGAATTCAGCAAAATTTATTGTTAATTTGGCACTTTTCGCCAATTTTCCGTATCTGTTCTCTGGCATGTTTTAGTGGTCTGCTTGGTACCTCTGAAATCTCACCATAGTGAAGAGGGAAATTCGAATCAAATCTGATTCCTTAGGCTGTTAACCTTAATCGTCCTACTAAAGCTGAAGTACGATTCCTTCCAAGTAGATCTGACTTGTTTCGCAGTATCCTCCGATGGATCTATTAGTGGCTGACGTCAGATCGGCTAATGCTAAATGTCCGTTAATAGAAAGTTGAGCTTGAAAAGCAACGCGCCTTTGAACCCTGGCATCCTACCCCTCCCCCCTCCAGATTATTTAGCGCTGTGTATTTTGCAACAATAGCTTTTGCAAGTAAGTTGCTATTTTCATGGCCTGTGACTTGCAATAACATTTCGAAAGCAGAAATTGTCTGCTCCAGTTGTGAATTTACAACATTGTGGACAGCAGATCATGGGGCGTTTTACCTACCTTGGGCACATGGCAATAACAGATATTCTATATATGTCTTCGACCTTTGTCCTATATTTTGGCAAAATGAAGTGAATAATATGTTATTCTTCTTAATATTACACTCAAGTATATTCCGAAGATCTCGAGACGCTGCAAAAATTATTACAGTACTCTACCTAACTTCAAATGTTATCACGATGAGATTTTTGCAGAGGGCTAAATATCCGCAATACTTCTTCATTCGAAGGCAATCCCAGAATTGTATGCGACGGAATACTGTATCTACCACGTTTTATTTTGGTAATTACAAATTTTGCGGTGAGAAAGAGACTGGGAGAGGAAGGGTAGAAGATGAGGAAAAAAGGAAGGAGAGAGCAAGACAAATCAGTGGTAACTGACGTATCATTTCTTTTTAAGTTTTACTTACCGAAAGTACTCCATTACGAGGAAAATCAGAGGTTTACATAAGGTCAAAATTATTTCCATCCAAATTAAGTATGGTAATCTCTTCATTTTGAGGATCTTTGTGTAGTTGCGGTAACTTTGCTGTTACACTAGAAACGGTTCTTCAGAAACAAAGCCTTTTGCTTTCTGCAAATTATGCGGTACCTATTCTTTGTTTGCTATTTTTCAGTTATATGCTCGTTATAGCGTCAGCTGCCTGCTACAGATTCAAAAACGTGCAATTACACAGAACGACCGATCAAAAAGACGATGCTGTGTATTTGGAACTGTGCAAGGACTTGTTCACGGATTTCTAGTCTGTAATAGCTGAAAGTCAAAAAGATTCCAAAACTACTGACTCGCTATACTGCAAAAAACGTTCACTTTGCAAAAAGATCATTTGAAGTTTTAGCGCGAGTCATTCAAACCCTAAAATCTACATAGCTCAGCGCAAATGTAGAAGATCGTTGGAGAACAGTAGAATTCAAAAAGATATACTTTTTGTTAGGTTAATAGAAATCACCCTAAAAGGGCAATCTTAAGCAGGCATGAGTCTTCTTTTGTTTTGATCGATGAAAACTCTCTAATTTAGAAAATGTACCATATCTTGATTCTCCTAAAAGAACATTCTCGTGATTATTCCTTTGTCCGCACTTTTGCTAAATTCGTCACCTATTTTCTGGTCACGTGCTGATTCCTACCGCAACACTGGTGTGTTTACACATAGAAGTGCTCATCTGAACCCACCCTCTGCCCCCCCCCCCCTCTCCCTTCGCCGTATAAAAGCAGGTGTCGCAAGCATGGTCATCATCTGCTGAGATGACAATCTCTGCTTTGCTGTTTGTTCTACTGACTCCTTTCGCACCTGCGCTAAATATAGCATCTCTGCTATTTGAGCACAGAGCCACTGCTGCCTATGAGTTGCTGGAAGTGATATCCTTAGTGATGGCTTCTGTCGATGTCATTTCTTGGGCCATATTTTCACTACAAATTGCGGTTGTAGCGAAGATCACTGCAAGGGCGATGGGCTACGGTGAGTATAGAGATCTATTCCATCTTATAAAAAAACAGAGAAATCAGCTTTACAATTCATTTCGAATTTCATTCGAGAAATTTATCAATTTCTTTCCAGACATCGTCATTCGGCTTTGCCAATGAGCTAACTGCTACCAAACCAAGTGCATGCAATGAATCACGGGTTGCACAGCTTTATGGACCTTCAAATGATCTTATTGTTGATTTTGTGAATTTTTGTACATACACGCCAAATTCACGAATCATACTTTGTTAACACACATTTTGTTAATGAAGAAAATGAAATTTATTCTAATTGAAGTATCATGTGGTTATAAGACTACCCTTCTACAATGAGAAGTATGCAACCTCAAAAAAAACACTCAGTAAAAATGGCTTTGTTCCAGAGTAAAATGAACAACTTTTGCAATCATTTTATTGCTCATTTGAGAAGAGTAATTCTGACAATTAATCCCTTGAAAAAGGAAGTATTGACGGGTGCAAAAAGGGAAAGTCAAGTGGAACCAACAATAAGAGTTGTGTGTACTTACTCAAGGATTGATAAGAGGAACGCAAACATGAGCTTTCAAAACCAATTCAACTTCAAATATGGAATTAAGTCGAATCACAACTCCACCGGCTCATCTCCTTAGAGGAGTCATAAGCATAAGATCAGGGCTGAAAAAAGTAAAGGATTTCTAAAAAAGTATCGATATGCCGTCATTTTTCTTCTTTTCTAACCTGCAGTTGAATAACAATGCCTAGTCATCAGTAAACCAGTATGAACATATTAATGACTATACCTTTAGCAGGCACTACATTAAAAGTATAGAAATGACTGGATATTGTAGCAAAGCCCTTAGGATCTTTTTGAATCCCGCTGTAGTATCATTTGTTGAAAAAAATTTTTTTTCGTTGCCTATGAATTATCAACAAAAAAATGAGAGACAAGTGCGCCTGTCCTAAAACCCCACATCATTCTTTTTACTGCCTATCAAGTAAAGGTATGACCTCCATCCTTCATCCTAGAGTTCAAAAAACTGGAAGATTTATAATGTAGGCTAAGTCACATGTAAACACTTTTACTGCCTTTCATCACTGATTAGAGATACTGATAAGGGAATGTTAATGAAAGATTAAGAAGTCAAAAACAAGGAAATGCATTGTGATTGTGCTCAGGTCATCAGCAAACATAATTTAGCAAGGGCATTTGGAGTTATACTGCTATGGAAAGCTAGAACTGGAAACGAACTCACGTCTAAACTTTGCTCTCTTATCACGAGCTTTGCGCTTAGACTGCTAATGGAGATTGTTTTCTTCCTATCAGGCGAAGAATCAGGTTGGTCTCCAGGGACATCAATGAGAACAGAGTCGGGTTCTATTCATTATACAAGCAACGCTGAACAGGGAGGGGGGGGGGGGGGAGAGGGGATGGTGTAGATGCGCAAGTTTGAGTTTTCTGACAATGGGTTGCGCTTCAAAACTATTGCAGCCTTTGGCTTCTGAAGCAATCGTATGAAACACATTAGTCCACGCCCTTGAAAAAAAAACTTTGTGGGAAGCAACTTTTTGAATCGTTATTTTGTGAGGCTTTCTTTTTCAATCTCCCTCAACCCCAATTTACGCGTCTTCATCCTCAACGAGAGGCATAAGTATAGGGTTGTCAGTTGAGTCGGGTGCAGCAGCATCTCTGCCCCGCGTGGCCGCCTCGCCTGGACTCTGCACTTCTTTCGCAAACATGCTCTTTAGTTATTTTCGCACGCTTAATTAACGATCCAAGCTCCGCCTTTCCCATGATCGTTTTGGGAAAGTGATGAGAGAGCATATTCGCGAAAAAATTGCAAAGTCCATATTCGCGCATAGCGCAGATGCTGGTGCTCCCGACTGCAATTGATAAGCCCTTAGCTTTGAAGCAAAGAAAAATTTTGTAAGAAAGATTTATTTGGATTCGATTTTAACGATGCAATCTACTAATGTTTTTAAATTAGAGTTGTTGAATGTTGGAGAAAGGAATACCCAGCTTATGAACAAAAAGAGAACAAACATTAAAGTTGACGAAGGTTTAACGAACAATATTCAACATCAAAAATAAAATTTCTTATTGGGTAGCACCAAGCAAATGAATCAAACTACGACGACTGAGATTATTGCATGGAAAAAATGTGACATCAACAAAATTAAGCAAAAAAATTGGGCCAATAGTAATGATCGAGACTCCGAGTTTAAAACTGCGTTAAGACAGTGAGAAGTTCTATCAGGTGCTTACGGACTTACCCAGTTACTTCGACGAAAATTTGAATAAGTCTTCCAATACTTAGTGCTATATCTTCTGTTGCAAAAGATACTACCAGGCCATCGTGAACTTGATCACAATCGCTTCATCCATTGCAGCACAGATATTTTTAGTAGCCTCACTTGTTTCACCGCGGCAGAAACTCGAGACTATTCGTAGAAATGACTTTGATTCTAAGTACTTATAAAAATGACGTCGCGACAGCGCCCATCTGTATATCTCGATCAGAAAATTTTTATATGTGCAAACAGCTGCAAAATTCGGGCCATCCAATCAGTTCTTCTTTTCCTATTTCCTAACTCCTAGACTTGGCGTTGTGTCATTTTACACCCTAGTGCGACCTATGTGTTCAAACCTACGTACTTGAATGACCATGCAGACAAAAAGAATACCTAATTGGTTTCCTATTTTCATCCTCATGTTCTGCCTTGTATGGTGTTGTTCATACTGAATTGGTGAGAGCCGCCAATGTGCGTATGAAGTAATTTTGAGAAATAAATAAGTCAGCTTAATCCCATGATCTCTTCATTCAGCGTTTATCAACACTAAAGCCAATTTGTGTTTGATAAAGGCTACTTTCAAGGCTTTGCAGTATGAGCTGACACCGCACAAAGTATGTAGCAAAATTGTTGCAGCTGTACGTTCATGCCTCAACCTTTCAATCCCAATGCATAAGGTCTATTTATCAAACATTGAGAGTATACCTCGCTCGATAGTTTACAAGTAGAGCCGCAAATGTGTAGGTTTTTGAAAACCCCTCTCTAGAAAAGTGGAGGTTGTTTAAAAAATTAGAGGAGAAAAAAAAGATGCATAACAGCAGTAGGTTAAGAAACTGCTGGAAACCGAGCAAAAAGCTACAGTAAATTTAAAATTTTTCTTTCGACGATATTTCGCTTCTCACGTTTTCGCCTACGGGATCCGCTCTGATTCATATTCTGGGAGAAAGAGGGAAGCTGACTCTTTTCGCAATTGCCTTAAAAATAATGAGGTTTTGAAAGTGGCGATTCGGGAAGAAGATAAACAGGAAAAAATCTGGGTATGAAATTGAAAATGCAGTTTTTTTAAGTCGAAATGCGCCCTTGAGATAACCAAATTTCGACGCATTTTCGTGCGCGACCCTCTGCGCAAAATTTTAGGCGCAGTTTCTCATTATGTTGAACTTCAACAGCTTTCGTGGTCTTGGAACTTTTTTAGTCTAATATTAGGTCAATTGATGTTGTTCTTATTTTTGGGGAAAGTTAAACATACCTTGTTTTTTTTGTTTTTGGGCCAAATAATTCGCTTGCTAAGTTTTAAACAAAGTAATTTGCTTTCTAAAACTGCTTCGCAGTTTTGCTCGGATACTTTTAAGGTAACACCCTCTAAACTTGCTTCAATCACAGCCATTCCAATTTTAGTTCGAAACAGCATCCAGGCAGTTAGTTGTGCTCTCTTATGAGGCCCAAGTGAAGGTTACCAGAGTGAATGACTTTATGTCGAGGGTATGAGTGAGACTGGATAAACATATCAAACTGTTTTCATGTTCTGGAGTTCGACTTCCAGAAGATATGGAGTGTTCGATATGATTGTTAGAGTTGCTGACATTTTCAAATGCTCAAGAAAATACATGTTGTGCGGAAACAAAATGTGAATTTCTCTGTCTATTCCTAAATGGGCGCTCTCAAATTTCGATTGCGGTGCCAACGAGCGTTTGACAAGGAATGTACATACAAATTGTGCCAAAGTTTTCTTAGACTACTAATGTTTCCCATTACTTGTAAATATCATTTATCTACAGTTGTTTCTCATTTCATCGGCCACCCATCCACTCACCACAAAAATCATTATGGCTTCAAACGATCTAGAACGGAAACACTTTGGGTGGTTTCTCCAGTTTTCTTTTTCGGTTCACCGCGGATGACCTGCATCTCGTTGATGTGATCGTTTCATCTTTTTTGATGACACATGCGTGCATAAACAATCAGTTGCCGTTTGTAGGACGGTACAATTCATTTGAATGGAGATAATTTGAAACAAATAGCGGTCACAAAAATTTAATCACGTGGAGAATAGTATTGTCACTCAGCCAGTCCTAGTGTCCTACAATTTCGTGTTCCTTTACTTTTGCAATTTATTAGGTTGCCCCATCAATCTTGCAACAAAAAATACGAAAAACTCTCTACTATTTACATAATGTATTAGATTGGCTAATAAATAATTTCGGTCGGTTTTGCGGCTCCTACAAATGCTGCAGACAATTTTTTGTTCGGTATACTCTATTGCAGGAAAAAGCCCTTCAAGAAGAATTGCGGCATGAAATTTGTTCGAGTAGAATTTATTTTGCAATGAATGAATTCCACAGAGAAGTGAAAAATAATTTCTCGTTGTGCGCAAATATGAGAAAATTGGTTTTTTGGGACAAAGACCTTTGGAACGGCAGATAACAATTTTTACTGATAGTGACTAAGTAGGCAAATTGGTGTTCCCTACATCATTATAGCATGAAAACGAAGCTTTGAAAGTTGCAGATTTGACGTTTAGGAATTTCCATGTTGGGACATAAGGGCTCTTATGGCTGTGTCTCTTGAATATGAAAGGATCTTAGGGCAGTTCTTGATATTGCTCTGTAAGTTCGTTGCAGTTCTTTTTCAGAAAGGTCGGGGAGGGAGGAGGAAACGGCCCTTTTGAACCGCTCGCTATCACAGCGCGCCTCTGATTGGTCAACATGTCCACTGCCATAACGAGTTAATACTCGTTCATTTTTGCACATCTTTCGTGTCCAACATGATGATAGGTTTTGACACAGGTATATTACATACTTCGAACTAAGAATTTTCCCGTTCATTGTAAGTGCGACTTGTTAGCTTTGCCAGCGGCGCCGCACACGGCGAGAAGAGCGCCGCGCGCGAAGGGTTCAAAAGGGCCTACACCCCTTTTTTTAGTTAAAAGTCCGTAATGTTGAGTGACTATTCTTTTGCACCCAAATGAATTTGCCTTACCAGCTGTAAGCGGCCCTTAGGGTCGCTAGTAATTTAAAATTCTGAATAGTTGATGTGTGATAGAAGAAGCATTGAACTACTTATCCACAAAATATCATGAATGAAGAACAACTAGAAAAGTTTTTATGAAAATTCTCATGCCAAAACGAAATATTTTTTAGCCAACCTAATATTAACATGTAGTGAATGCTCTTCAATGTACATATGAAACATTCGAGGCAAAATCGCGATGGCGGATGAAAATACTCAAAAGTCTCAAAGAACACAGAGGAATTTTAATTTGAATTTGAAAAAGTGTAGTCCCGAATTTGTATCAGACTTTTCGGTTACCGAAATGAAAAAAAAGAATGCTTTTTCCTATCGCCTTTTACCGCTGGAAATATTAATACTGATTTTCGCTATACTTGAAGTGCAGATTTTCTTTCTATAAGCTTCATGGTAATTGGAATTTTTTGAACAAAGGAACCAATAGAAGCTTTAATGGAAGGACTATGGGCCTATCTAGTATAGGCCCTTTACTGGCAGCACTATCTGAGTTATGCAAAAGATTTTTTTTGCATTACTTGGTTTTTACTCTTTCATACTAATTCCACAGTCAATTTTCGACTGTAATATTTAAAATATCATTCTAACTTGTAATAATATTAATTCTTTACGCTCAACGTAATCCTTGTAGCTTCATAATTTTCACGCTTTTCTTGTTACATTGATACAAAGCTCACTTTTATTCGCCGAGCAAAACCAACTAATTATGTCTGTGAATCCGGGTGGCAGCTTCACTCGTTGGAAAAGATGAAAAAGGCCGCATCTACACGGATTTTCTCGTGCATTGTGTTCTTGTCATCTTGTCTCCAAGAAAAATATACGACAAACCTGTTACTAGGATATTGGACGCCGCAATCTGTCCTTTTCATTCGGGACAGGTTTGATGCCAAGGCGGCGCCCAGCTGATGACGACGGTAACAGCTGTGCTGAGCTTTTTAGCTGATCATTCTTGTCTCTTTGTTCCGCGAGCGTAGTTCTTTAGGTGGCTATTTATATTGCACTCGGGACAAGATAATGAACATAGTGTGCCATATCTCTTCTGGAGCATCCCATTATGCCTCCACTCGGCTCCGATATTTATTGTCAGTGGGTAGTGCACCCTTTCAGTTCAATCGCTGATGTACCAAAGTAACGTTAGAGATTTATATTAGTTTATTGTTCAGCCCTATGAGCCTGTGAGTGATGGCCGGCTGTAGCTCTACTATGCTTGGATATTCGTTAAATAGTCATCTCAGCCACTAAGAACTTCATACCAAGAAACATAAGTAAAATAACCATTGCTGGTATGGTTCGCAGTGAGAGAAATTTGAAAAGCCAGCTTTGATCCTACTCGATTTTATCTCACATACATAGAGTGAATACTCATTAAAACTGTTACTTCACTGGAACCAAACGTAACTGTGTTTATAGGAATAAATGTAACAACGTCGCTTTCATTGCTTATCTGTCATAGCTTTATGTGTATATATTCATCTATTTATTTTTAAGTCGGTTAATAAATAAGTTTGTTTTGGCATGCAAATCTTCATAAAAATTTTGTTGTTGTTTTCCACCCACGATTCTTTGTGAAAAAGTACGTCAAAGTTTCTCCTATCATATATCAAGTACTTAAGATTTTTCATTGTAAGTAAAGACAGTTAGGCCTCACTATGGTTAAATTTCCAAAAGCTCAATTCCTCGACTTGCTAAGCTTCGTTTTCATGCTGTAATGGATTTAGGAAACAGCGGTTCTCTATCTGGATACAGAGGATCCTTTCTTATAGTGAATAACAATGAAACTTGTTATCTGCCATTTTGAAAATCTTATATAAAAAAACCAAATTTCCTCATACTTGCGCGCTACAATAATGTTGGGTTTTCTTATTCTTTGCGGATTTTTTTCCTTGGAAGAAAAGTTTTACTTAAACAGAATCTATACTTCAAATCATATTGAAGTGCTGTTTTCGGAGATACCAAATACTGGACAAAAGTTCGTCTGCAGCATTTATAAGAAACGCAAAAGCGACCGAACTTATTTATTAGCCAACCTAATACTTTTGTACATAATTTACACATTTTGAAACTCGCGCTCTCGCTTTCTACTAAACATACTGTACAATGGGAAAATCGGTAACTGTGCAGGTTTTTTGGGCTAAATGCTTTTTACAGGACATCATTACCCTGGTTTCAAACATTCGGCACCTGCTAAGGCTTCTTCAAAAAAAGGTTTTCAAGATTTGTTACAAATTCTGTAGGTACTTATTTACTAATGTCAAACCACTTGGTTCATGCCAGAGGTCTTAATATAGCAATTCTCTACCTGGGTCGACTTTCACAGAGAGCAATAAAAACAGACTTTGACAATCTGTATCAACTTCATCATGTAAACTCGATGTTCATAACTTATTCACCAAAAGCAAATTTCAACATAAGCTTTCAAAGTCGGACGCAGTGGAAACTTTATTTTGATAATTCTCGACTATTAAGTTTGTTTCTATTTGTTTCCTTTGCCTTTTTCCTTCGTATTCATTGTCGCAGGTGTTTCTACTTCCATAACTATGGTATACTTTTCAGAATGCCAGACAGGGTGACCGTGGCTACTTTTCTTTCCATTTCTGTTAGCGTAGCGATGATAGCAGTATGTGGTATCATCGCCAATCTTATCTGTGACGATATCAACGACTTTTACGCTGACAGTATGAAGGAGCTGAAAGCTTTCCAGGTAAAGTTGCTACAGTGCACAAGTGTAAAAAGAAAAAATCTCGTGTGGGTGAAAAAAGAAAGTGAATTTGTACGATTCTGAGGCTTCGTATCCAGGCATTTTGCCCTTTCTGGAACTCGCTGATGATTATTTTTCAAATAAATCCTTCGTTGCGCTGATAGGGAGAACCCGCCGCAGAGGAAAAACTGACCTAGCAGGTTCTCGTTTCATATCCGCTCCCCTTTCAATGTTTTCAAAGAACACTCGAAATGGAGATTTGCAGCGATTGAGGATTGCTGATGTTGCAGAACATGTTTTCTGTGATTCTATTCCTTTTTTCATGTGAGCAAAGGCGGAGATGGCTATGAATCATATTAGAATGGAATAATGCATACTTAGCATTATTTATTGGTTTGCAAAACCTATTAATCTCTTTCTATGAAAGCTGATAAGTTTGACAGGGAATAAAATACAAAAATGTTGAGAAAATCATGTAGATTCTAAGGTGTTTACCGACATTTGCATTTATACTACAATGGAAGTGAAAATTGAGGCTGAAGCAGAATATTGCGGGAAAATTATAGAATGATTTTTCTCCTTCTCAATAAACTTTACGCATTTTTTACAAATTTCTTGCAGTAGAAACAAGTACTTAGTTGCCAGCATTCGGTCTATCCTTGGTCACTACAGCTATGCCTTAGACTGTTGGTGCTATCAAAATCAATGTTTGAAAACGCGCTAGCTTCACCTTAGCAATAACCCAAACACCCCATAACATAAGGCCAAGGAAGTTTGTAGTAGGATTTCCGTTGTGTGCTAGTGTGGAAAAATTACACTACTCAGAAAATCTTAGTTCTTTTGCGCATGCGCATATCATTGCTTCCCCTATAACTCTGCTTGAGGTTTTAACTGATGACGCATGGACGGAAGTGATTAAAATGGAAATACCGCCTTCGAGCAAACCCACATTCAAAAGCCTGATCAAGCGGCAGTCACGAAATCTTGATTTGCCATCGTTCTGCAGTGAGTTTACATTTGCTGATATGAGTCTTATCCGGATGAGCGTATTTCAGGCTGCATGGCGGAATCTGCATGTCCACGTGGACCTCCTGGACGTCCGGGACTAGATGGAGACGATGGGGGTGAGTAATCCAGTTTAGCCGAAGATCTGGGAAAACACGAACCACGGATAGTAAAAATTTCAGCTCCCGGGTTGCCAGGGCCGAAGGGGCCAGATGGACTTGACGCTTCAGGTCATACTTACAACATTGACACTGGTTGTATCATGTGTCCAGCTGGACGTAAGCAAAAACTAAAGAGTTGCAATGAATTCAAGAATTTAGTATAATTTATTCCAGCTCCTGGTCCTCGCGGGCCACCAGGACAGGCGGGAGCACCAGGGCCACAAGGTCTGGATGGGCCGCGTGGTGTGAACGGTTATGGGGTTGGTAGACCCGGACCGCCAGGGCCACCTGGAGATCGCGGGGAGCCAGGTATCGTAAATTTGAACCTTTGCACACTGCAAAATGGCTTTTTATAGGATGTGAGGGTAAACCTGGTATACCTGGTAACCCTGGCCGTGATGGTGTGCGCTATTTTCCGCGGCCACCAGGACTGCCTGGAATGCCAGGTCCACAAGGACCACCGGGTCCTCCTGGCCCTCCAGGTGTAGCGGAAGAAGGGCCAGACGGGTTACCTGGCATACGTGGTAAACCAGGTCTGCCTGGTATGCCTGGACCAGTGGGTAAACCTGGAGAGGTAGGAATATCTATCCTTATTAATGTTTCTAAAATAAACATAACTTGTCTTTCCCTCTTCGAAATGAGCATCATGCTTTTTAGGAGGGAGATGCGGGTGAACCTGGGTTCGATGCCGACTACTGTCCATGCCCACCTCGAGGAACCATACGCGGACAAGAACCCCCACCAACGGAACAAGAACTGGTGTCTGAAGATGGTGATTTTACCACTTATGTGCACTTGTATTTGATCCCGTTGCATTTGTAGAGCCTATTGTTCATCCTATGGCTGCACAACCCATGGAGGAGTCGAACCAAGCAACCATGGTGGAAGAGTCGAACCAAATGACCACGGCATCAGGGAGGTTCTTCACAGAAGAAACCTATGGACCGGATTTCGAAGAAGCTTCCCGAACTCCCTACAGAAAGACGAAGTTGAACAGACACATACGATGATTCGAGTGTAGACTGTCCTTTGATTGCAAAATCTTGGCTTTTGGACTCTGGTAGCCCCATTCGAGGTGTTTCCTGTAAACACAATCATTGGACCAAGCGTATGATATTTTATGCACTTTCCTTTTCCTTCACTATGTACCTTGAAAAATGTTCGTCATTTTTCTCATTTTTGAAGGAATTTATCTTTGCATCAAAAGGATCAGCTACAAAATACAAAAATATAAAAATCAAGACAATGTTCTACAACAATTTTCAACATAAGTGTAGATCTTACAGTTGTTCTATCCTTTTCACTTATGCTCCCAATGTTGAATCATTTCCTCTTATACTGGCTCATTCGTTGATAGGAGACTCAATTTGAAAATGCAAGTGCATTTATTCGAATAGGTAGATCACAAAGAGCAAGATTCCGAATCATAAAAGACATGTTATCATAAAAAAAAACTAGTGATTAAGTTTGATTTTCTGATCCGGCCAGTTACAAGAATACAGCAAGTAACTGAGGATTTAAACAACATCCGGGCAAATTCTCGGGTTCCAGGTTGAATTCTTGAGTCTTTTCGTCGAGCTCTTTCTCAACCTCGAGTGTAAATACGTGAAGAACTCGAAAACGTCCGTTCTGGGAAAGTGAGAGCAGCGAGGACAAGTATTCCGTCCTGCTCTAGTATTGCGTGGTAGTGTGTGAAATATGTATTAGATGTAGATATACAGCTTAGGCCGTGAAAATGGCGCGCGCAACTGTAAGCTCGTCTGCGCAATGTGAGGGAAGCAGAAGTGAGTCAAAGAAGCCGCTTCAAGACCGTATCCGATAGGTTAGCATGCGCTATACTTGATCCGCTTGATCCGCTTGATCTGCTTCGTTCCGCCATTGGTCATTTTGCTGATTTGACCAATAGCGAAGTGGATGAAGCGGATCAAGTATGGCACATGCCTTAGAGAGAAGTATCAGGTTGTTCCATAAGATTTGATTTCCAATTTCAATGAATCACGAACTTCTTGTTTCTAGATAGGTATCAAGGTACCCCGATAGAGCAAAGCAAGCTCTATAAGATGGCTATCTCGCTTTTGCACCAGCTCTGATCAAGGCGAAAATCAAAAAGATTCAACTGCCCGAAAAATCGAGGAAAAATTACAACTTTGTTCAAAAAATCCTACAAAAATTTTGACTTGCTCGCGTAAACACTATACATCTAACAAGACAAGACATTCACGACATTCATTCTGTAAGACATTCACGTACTCGTATACTCGTTGCCGTATTTTTTGCTTGGTTGAAATTTAAGAAAACGAAGATTTTCATGTTCTTGCTAAAGCTATGCTGTGCTGTTCCTACATAGTTACTTGTATACCAGTAGACTGTAGAAGTACATGTGTTTTCAGCTTTCTACAGGTACTAGTTTTCGAGAAATATGGATTTTAGCGCAAGGCATCCAGCTAAGGCAAGCTGTATTCGATATTTCTCGAGAACCAAAGCAAGCTTGTAGGGAGCTGAAAATTTGAATTTGTACTTCTACAGGCTAGTAGTATACAACTAACTATGTAGGGACATCACAGCACCACTTTGGCAAAGGCATGAAAATCTTTGCTTTCTTGATTTCTAGCCGAAGAGTAAATAAGGCAACGCCGTGTATAAATGTGTTATATGGATAATGTTTATGCGAGCAAGTTAGAATCCTTGTAGAATTTTTTCAAGCGGAGTTATAATTTTTTTCTCGATTTTTTTGGCAGTTGAATCTTTTTAGTTTTTGGTTTGAAACTCGATATGTATGAAAGCTGGTGCAGAAGCAATGCAGCCATCTTGTAGAGCTTGCTTTGCTCTATCGCAAAGTATCTTGCAATTTTTTCGGAAGCGAGAAGTGACTTAATACGGTCGAAATTCACAACGGACGAAACATACGATACAACCTGATATATGTCATGAATAACGATAGCAGGCAATAGTAGCACCCTGAGTGCTCTGCCGAGTAAACGGTAAACTGGTAGCGCCAGCAGCGGACGAGCTCACGCGTACAATAAGATATGCCCAAAGCGTTACTCTTGTATATCTAAGCTTTTTATTATCGTTTTTCTATTTCTCCAGATGGAGATAATCAGCAATCTCATCACCACAAACGCATAATAAATCTTGCAAGCTTAATTCAGCATGTGAAGTATATATGTAAGTCTTTTGTAATTGATGTAGAGAAAGTAGCTTAATAAAAACAAGTAAAATTTGAGTGTGTTTTCTCGGTTTTTCGAAAAATTGAGGGAATGCTTTTCTCGGTTTTTTGAAATCTGATTTGCGTGTAAGCAGCTGGCAACTAGCGGGTGACAGAGCTATCGTTAGCTAGTTAGCTATCGCTCTTAACTCTCCCAATAGGCGGCGTATCAGGATCCTCCAAAGGCCCGCCGCTTCTTCTTCATGCGCGCCTTTGGAGGGAATAATCTCTTGGCGGCTACCTCGCGCCTGTGTCACGCTTGCCTCGCACATTCCTGCGACAGTTCCCCCAAGATAATCGCCTTGTTTCTCCTAACATTAACCAGAAAGGTCACTGCTTGAGCAATTATTTTTTAATGATAACAAAAAGAGGAAAAAGCTGTGGTAACTTAAAAAATAATGAAGGTAGATTGTGCTTCTTGCCAGTGAAGTCATCTACGAAGTGGCAAATTGAATGTTGATGCATACCAATGCAGAGAGCTCGTGCTGGAGTGGTAATTTGGTCGAAACCCTCATGTTGATTGAGTTTTCATGACAGCAGCTGACCAGCAGCTTCACATCATCTTTCCAATGAAACCACGAGCTAACCAGTCGGAAACATGAAATAAACTATTTTACAAATTAAAGTCATTGGAGGAGATCGAAACCCTAATCATTCTCATGCTTGTCCGCAATCATTGACTGTACCAAATTTGTTAGTTGGAGTGTAGCTTTTCATTCTTCCACAATGGTTATCCCTTACTGAGCAGCTATACACTAAACTTTCCAATAGTAGACTACCGAATGAACTTCTCGTAAATAGGTGAGGTCTTCTCATTCGGCAATGCTTACCTTGGCTATGGCGCAGAAATTAGTGGTGCGTAATCAAATTTACTTCGGTTTCAATGCGGTATGTTAGAGTTTGAGTTTTTAGATTGTGCAAAATTATTTTGCGTTTTCAAAGCATAAAGCTGAATTCGAATTTCGTAAAAAATATCGGTCGCATACAAAAAAGCAGAGCTACTGATAAATGTCTTACATATGTGATCAGCTCCAGATTCTTATGAAAGCGGGGAATTCCGGACTTTTGATATCGTTAGAAAAGCTTGTCAGAGTCCCACATTAAACAAGTGTTAAGCGAGATCTCTCCTTGTTAAAAAGCTTGAGCCGCCTGCTTCCGCCCTTATACAAATTTTGAGTTGATCGTAACTCAAAAACGCATAATCCGCTGTGTTTGCGCTCATTCGGCGTCAGTAGTACGATAGAATAATTTTTCCACCATTTTTCCACCTTCAGTGCTTTACGCGTTAACACGATGTGAAACCAAAACACCATTGTTTCAAACGAAAAAGTGTTCAGGGGTAGTCTTTCATTTAAACAATGATGTGGTGATTTCACGTCTGCGTTTCATGACATGAAGTGCTATATTCACTACTCTAGCTGACAAGGAAACAATGGTTTCAACCTCCTGATTAATTCGTAGTTTGGTTTAGAATGAAACAAGCATGAAAAGAATATGGTTTTCTAATAGTTACTTGCTTGTTTCATGATTTGGTATGACCGATTGAACTGACAAGGGAAGCGTCTTTAGTCGAAGTGGCCTTTCCAAATGAGTCCTATACCACTTTGAAGAGCATTAAACGCTGATTCCAAATCTGTTTTCGCTATCTGCCAAGCGCCCCTGGGCGCCGAGTTATGAGTGTTTTTTGGAGCAAAAAATGAACGCAGAATCTATGTAAAAACAGTAATTACGATATTTTCTGCGCTCAAATAAAGCACTGTTGAGTATAAGGGTACTAAACAGAAGGTATTCATCAAGAGAAATGCTCCGATAATGAACACCTGGCCATTTGAGCAATCTTGGACGATTTTGTTCCAGTTGTGCATTCAATTTTTCGACTTAAAAAATGCCCATAATTCGGCCTCCAGAGGCGCTCGGCAGATATGGAAACGGATTTGGAATTACCGTTCAATGCTCTACAAAGTGATATAGGTGCCATGTGGAAAGGCACCTTCGACTAATGACGCTTCCCTTGTGAGTGACCTGGAGAAGATGATCATAGCTACCACGATGTAATCATGATTAAAGCATCATATCTTGGCGGTTTCGACCAAATTACTACCACTCCTGACTTATATATCTGCGAAGCGTTACTCCCAAGGAATACTAAAAACAAATAAATTTCTAATTTCCGTTTGTTTCCTACCACTAGACAGAAATTAGACAAAGATTACGATCTACCCCGGAAGTCAACAGTAGTGAAGGAAGATCGTTGAATGCAAGCAAAAAAAAGTTTTTTAAAAAACAAACTAACCTCAACCATTACGTTCTTCCTGTCTAAATGGCATAATCTGAAAAATACCAATTCTCATAAATAGTTCTTCAAAAGAAGGAAAAGTAAGCGTATGTGTCAAAAACTATTTGTAAATAAAAATTACTTTAAGGAAGTTAAATAATGTTATTGACGTGGAGCAAGAGAATCCTCTGAGTCATTTGAATATATTGATTTCGTGAAGTTGATATTATGTCCGTAGAGCATAACGTTATGTCTTGTTGTAACAAGCATTTAATCGTGACTTGTGTGTGTGTGTGTGTGTGTGTGTGTGTGTGTGTGTGTGTGTGTGTGTGTGTGTGTGTGTGTGTGTGTGTGTGTGTGTGTGTGTGTGTGTGTGTGTGTGTGTGTGTGTGTGTGTGTGTGTGTGTGTGTGTGTGTGTGTGTGTGTGTGTGTGTGTGTGTGTGTGTGTGTGTGTGTGTGTGTGTGTGTGTGTGTGTGTGTGTGTGTGTGTGTGTGTGTGTGTGTGTGTGTGTGTGTGTGTGTGTGTGTGTGTGTGTGTGTGTGAATAAGAGGATAAAAGCATCATTAGAATAAAAAAGAA